ACCATTCAGGTATAAGCTGCGAGACTGAAAGAGATGATGCTGTGTGTATCTTATGTTCTGGTTCCCATTTCGCCACAGACAAAAAGTGTCCGGAGTACGCTAGGCAAAAAGCTATAAAAGAAACAATGGCTAGAAACTCTATATCTTATTCAGAAGCCAGTAAAGTCCATCCACCAGTTTCGAAATCTTATGCTGACGTTGTTGCTTCTGCTTCATTGGCCCCTTCTGGTCGAAATATTACTTATTCCAGCCCCTATAATTCAACAAGCCCTTCTAAGAGTCACACACAGTCATATAGGAAAACAGTATTCTCGAAACCCAAAGCTCGTCCCAGAAATACTAGTAAGGGATATGATCAAAAAGCGCATGCAGAGCTTATCCAAGATTACAGCAACATTCCTTCCTTTTCCACAGGTTGTCTCAAAAATTACAAAGATCTATCAGAAATAATAACAAAGGATCTCATCATTTCTATAATTCAGTACCTTTCACAATCTAACTTAATTAAAATACCGTCCAACGATGCCGCTTCTTCAAAAAGTTTTTTAACTCATGGACAGTCAGGACCATCCACGAAACCAGTCTCTGGTGATTCAATGGAATTGCCGGAGTATTAATAGCAAAAAAAGTGACCTAATTTTCTTATTGAATAGTTACAAACCATTTGCAGTCTCTCTTCAAGAGACTTGGCTTCGTCCCGGATTCAACTTTAGAATTTCAGGACATATCTGTCTTAGAGAAGACAGAACAGATGGGTATGGTGGAGTTGCACTAATTCTGAAGGGCGGTGTGCCCTTTGTCCACATACCCATACCTAATCACAGTAATAAATTTTCAATTATTGCTGTTAGTGTAAATAATATTTGTTTTGTAAATATGTATATACCTCACCCTTCCACTGAAGTCTTTGACGATATTCGTAGCATTCTATCTTCCCTCCCACGCCCTATATTGGTCATGGGAGACTTCAATGCACAACATTCTATGTGGGGAAGTTCTAAGTCTGATCATTATGGGGCTAGAATCTTAGACATCTTAGATGATAATAATTTATGCCTTCTAAACTCTGGTTGTCCTACTAGAAGGACTCGGCCCCATGAGGGTATTAGTGCACCAGACCTTACCCTGTGTAGTCCCTCCCTAGCTCCTACATTAAACTGGTGGCCTCTATCGTCGTCATATGGAAGCGATCACTTTCCGTTAATTATATCATTTCCTCAAAAAATTGGCGAAAAGATGTCTAAGGCTCCTCCCCGGCTAAAATATAAACTTAAGGATGCCAACTGGTCATTATTTAGAGATAAAGTTCAACAAAATTTATCAACTATACCTCCACTAAATGACAACAATAATCATCTTTGTGTTGAAGCTTTTACACGGGCCCTACTACAGGCTGCTGAGGAAGTTTTTCCTATTAAAAATAATAGTGGCAATGGGTATATTCCATCACCTCCTTGGTGGGACAGTGAGTGTTCTGCTGCGATAACTGAGAGAAAGATAGCTGAAAAAAATTACAGAAAAAATTCTACAACACAAAATTTTAATATTCTTTGTAATCTTATAACTAAAACACGTAAATTATTAAAACAAAAAAGATTCAATGGCTGGAAATCTTTTTGTGCCTCAATTTCACCAGACATTTCTCCATCTGAAGTTTGGCAAAATATTCGTAGATTCAGATCCGCTTTTAAGCCTCCAAGGTCTCCTTTTATGGATAGCAGTACAGTTGATTTGTTTCTTGACAAATTAGCTCCACCATTTGTCCCATCTATAGATAATATTTCTTCTGACCTACAGTCTTCTCTCCTCTCCCAGCATGATAGTAGCGATTCATTCATTTCCTTTAGCCTTTCAGAACTCAAAGGGGTTCTTTCAAAACTTAGGGACTCAGCCCCAGGTTGTGATGGAATCCCATATTCTTTTCTTCAAAACCTGAACGACTCCTGCCTTTCTTATTTTCTTAGTTTAATTAATTCAATTTTAACAACAGGTAATATTCCTCCATCATGGAAAATCCATGAAGTTATCCCAATACATAAGCCCGACAAACCGATTAATGATCCATCATCTTACAGACCAATTGCATTAGCTTCAGTTATTTCCAAAATTTCCGAACATTTAGTTAAAAATAGGTTAGAATGGTTTATTGAGAGTAAGGGGTTACTATCTCCAAACCAGTTTGGATTTAGGAAAGGTAGGAGTACAATGGATAGTCTCAGCATTTTTATGACAGACTTAAGATTGGCATTTTCGTACAATAACTCTGTGTTAGCAGCATTTTTAGATGTATCTGCAGCCTATGATAATGTCAACCTTTCAATTCTGAAACAAAAAATGATTAATTTGGATATCCCACAAATTTTTATAAGATTCACAATCAATCTTCTCTCTGGTAGAATGCTTAAAGTAATATCAGAAGACTCTTACCAATCCCGTATTGCCTGGAAAGGTATACCCCAGGGCTCAGTTTTAAGTCCCTTAATTTACAATATATATTCTCATGATCTGGAAGCCTCCCTTAAGGGTAAAGTTAGCACACTCCAATATGCAGATGATTTACTCCTCTATGTCTCTGGTGATTCTGTTCACAACATGTCTGATACTATGACATATTCCCTTAAGTTACTAAAAGTTTGGCTTGACAATAACTGTCTCAGCCTTTCAGTTTCTAAAAGTAGTATAGTCTTATTTTCACGTATGAGGTTTCCTCCTCCAGTGTCTGTACTTTATAATAACATTAGAGTTCCCGTTAAAAGCGAAGCAACATTTCTTGGAGTAATTTTAGACTCGAGACTTACAGGCATCCCTCATTGCTACTATATAAGTGCCAAATGTGAGAAGATTCTAAATATACTGCGCTGCCTCTCTGGAGTTTGGTGGGGAGCCCACCCTTTCTCTCTAAAGCTTCTATATAATGCCCTAATAAGGAGTATTTTAGACTATGGAACATTTATTCTTGAACCCTGTAATGCAGTAGCTCTCCATAAGTTAGACATTATCCAGTCTAAGGCTCTGAAAATAATTGCTGGGGCTATGCGTTCGAGCCCTATTAACGCTTTGCAGGTTGAATGTTCTGAAGCGCCCCTGCATCTCAGACGACAATTTCTTTGTGACAGGTTCCTGTTTAGAGCATTCCAAGTCTATAATCATCCTCTTTACTCTAAGTTACGGTCTCTGTTGGAATGTATGGACTATCCGTACTGGGCTCATAAATCGCCGCCATGCCTTATTGTTAGTCTCCAAAAATTCTTAGCTCTTCAAGCTCCAACACATAGATCACAATTCCTTCCTATATTTTGTGTTAACTATGATGCCTTAATTTTAAAACCATCTATTTTGTTTGATTTCGGTGTATGTAAACAAGATCCTTCTGCCAACGCCAAATTTATTAATATTGTTGACTAGGCATGAGACCGATATATCAAAACGTAACTAATAACGTTATGTTATCAAATATCATATCATATCGATAAACCTAAGAACATAACCGTTATCACATATCCAACCAAAACCCAAAATCAACTAACCAACGTACGAATACGAAACGTAAAACGCAAACTGTAACGATATGCCAAAAACCGAAAACGGCCCAAAACCAAAACTAACCGATGTCCTTTGATATTCGTTGTTTCTCGTTCTAGCGACAGTATCATAAATACGTATGAAAGAGATGAAGCGAATATGGATTTCATTGCGATGTTTTGGTTGTTATCATAAAACGGTGCACGTAGTGAAATATAATTATAAGATTCTTAACAATAAGGTCGAATTTTAAATGGTTAAAATTGCCTAATTTTTTAAGTTTTTGTAGTTGTGAGAGTTGTCAGATTTAAATGATCTTTAGGACATTAGGCACTAGACTTAGATTTGTTTCATCACATTATATTTGGTTTAGGCAACTTTTGTTTATGTGAAAGTTAGAATTTGATTTTTTTTCAAACGTAACAATTACGCACTTGACATTGGTGGCGTGTGCCGTTCACTATAAAACTATCTGTAAAATTATTAATTTTTGACGTTGCGTTTGTGCATTTATTCGTAATATTTATTTGCATTTTGTACATTTGTTTTAAAACTTTCCTGTCAGTCCTAAGCCTAGTTAAGTATATGAAGGTAACTTAAATAATAATTATAATTTTCTATATATATATACCTATAAATTATGTTTACTACTTATGAATACAGTTTAATTATAGACTTCGAAATCAAACTCTGATCCTACGTCTCACTTTATAAAATATGGGTATAAACATTATAGACATAAATGAGAATAGAAAGAATGTAATTTTAGACATTTATAATACTATATTAGTTACTGCATAACAATCATAAATTATATATTAACATAAATGTCTAAATATTACATCTAAGATTATATTAGAGCCTCTGTCTTCTAATCTAAAATAATCGAAATAATTCGTAAAATAAATGTACTCGTTCTACAGTTTTCAGTAGATGAGCCACTCTGAAAAATAATAAGGTGACGAAACGAGGAAATGAGGAAAGTTTCTTCTGCGCTTTTATAGATGGCGTAGGGAATATAAATTACTGAAAATTACACTAGAGGGCGCTATATACAACCTAGGTGAGGTTCAGTATTATTTCGTACATATTTCAATAAAATTAAAAGGATTTCAATTTAATTTAAGTATTAACTGATTTGTTTTATATAAATATTTATTATGTTTGTTTGAGAAATCAATGCTGTGAATTGGTTCGTTAATTAACAAAGAATTATTTTTATATATATATCGGCGCATTTCAAAACTTTGCTAGCATGATTTAGGCTTCGGTATAAATAATAAATACCCACAGTGGCGCCATCTTTTAATAGATTGTGTAAAAATATCGGGGAAAAATAGTACTTTTACTGTGAGATGGCACTAGTATCAACGTAAAGCAAGCTACTGAGGACTTTCATACCCCTGATTTTAGGTTATGTATTGGTTGTAAACCATTACTATTGATATCGATATTTGAAAACGGTTTTCAATAACGATATGAAAACTAAATATCAGTTATGTAACCGTTGCAGTCAAAATCTGAAAACGCCCATGCTTATTGTTGACAGTGACAGCCGATGGAAACATTGCCATTTAATTTTTAGTGATTCTTCCAAACCCGGTTTCGAGGAGTGTGTGGGAGTTGGCGTTTTCCATCAACAGTTTGGCATTGTACAGAAAATAAAATTGCCTCCAGAGACTTCAGTATTTACTGGAGAATGTTTTGGTCTGTTGAAGTCTCTGGAGTACATTTTAATCATGAAGTTAAAAAACTCAATAATTTTTACCGATGCTAAAAGTGCCCTCCAAGCCTTGGAAAGATTTCCTTTTAGCAGTAACAGAAATAATCATCCAGTTATTATTGCATGTCGTGATTTATTGTATCAATGTTGCATCAAAAATTACACAGTTTCTTTTGCTTGGATTCCGGGGCACTCAGGTATCTTTGGCAATACCAAGGCCGATAGCCTTGCCAAAGCTGCAGTCAACGACGGAGATCTAGTTCCGTACAAAAACTTTTGTTGTGATTTGGCTCTCCTTCCTAAATCCCAGTTATTGAATTCTTGGACACATATTTGGCGTTCTTCAAGTCAGACTATAGGTCGATATTATAGCACGATCCAGGTGGATATACCTCCTAAACCGTGGTTTTCAAATCTGACGTTTGGTAAAGCTATCACTTCGACCCTTATTCGTATGAGGCTGGGCCATGCATGCATTCCCTTGCATTTGGCACGACTTAAACTTTTGCCTAGCGATATATGTGAGTGTGGCAATGACGTTGGGGATTTTAACCATATATTCTTTGCTTGTCCTAGACATGACCGTTCCGCTTTTATTTCCTCGCTTTTGTCCATTAAAATTCCTTTTCCTACTTCAATTTCTGTCCTTTTATCTTAAGTAAATATTGATGTATATAGAATTTTAGCCAGTTTCATTTTTCATAACAATATAAAATTATAATAATTATTTATGTACTTATATACTAAATTTACCTGATCCTTTTCCAAATTCCGTCCAATTTCCAATTCAATAAAATAAATCTTACTTCCTAACCTTTTTGCATGGCTGACGCACAAACCGTGCAGGCCAAGAAAGGGGAAAAAAAAAAAAACTTCCGAATGGAATGGTTGCTTCAATGATTGGTTCCATCGTATGGAAAAGTGTGTCAAATTTCGCGGAGAATACTTCGAAAAGCAATAAATACATTTTTAAATAGTAATGTTGTGTCACTGCTTTGATTCCCGACATTTTCAGTGCCGTCCTCGTAGTACATTGTTTAAACACGAGTTTTCAATGCTGCCATAGTTAAATAAATATGTATATAGCAAGCTAAATGCTGCGACAGTGAGGACGAATAATTTCCTGCTCACCAGATGTCGTTAGTTGACACTGAGGTAAAGTTTTTTGTTACACAGTGTAATTTAATTGAGAAGTTGGTTTTAAATAAAAGTTTATTCGTTTCTAGAGTATTATATTAATATAGAAAACAATCCGTCAGTGGTTTGCTCTTTAATTTTTTGCACATTTTTAAATTCTTTTAAAAATTTCTACTTTTATGAATATCTGTGGTTTGGTTTATTTATTTTTAATCTTATTAATATAACATGTAGCTAATAGTACAGAAAGAGACGATAACTTTTACATTTTACGAACAAATTAACTTCCCCTCTATGAAATCTGTCAAATATTATACCTCACTTTTTAGTGGCGCTTATTGACAAATGCGATTTTTAGGCTCAGAAGGGCTAGAACCCAGAGCCGTAAAGCCAGTTTAAAAAAACAACTGCCATCTGCCATTTGCTACCTATATTTTGGATCAATCTAAAGGATTTTGGCGGGAACTTGATCGGCGGCCGCTTGCTGCTCCTATTTTATTGTTTAAATAATTGTTTGAAGTGGACTTTGATATATAAAAGCGGTGTGATTTTGTGTATTAAGTGTCTGCGCATGTGAACTATTAATGGAAACTGTGAAACGAGTGCTATGATGGTGATGGATTCTCAAGATAAGCTGTTTGTTTGCATAGGCGCCTTTAGATACCTTCGCCAACTGTCAGCTGCCTGCTGGCTCAAGTTGCCGTCAAAATCTCCCAAGGGCTGCACAATGTGACGCATCAACACATTGTGAAGCAGTGAACTATGAAGGATAATTACACATGAAGACAAGGCTGTATGGCATAGTTCCTTTGCCTGCTCTCTCGAGCGAATAATAAAAACAACAACAACAACTACCTATATTTTGTTTTTGGTATAGAATCAATATTGTGTAAGTAAACAAAGTAAAATTATGAAACTCGATTCGAATAATAAATTGATTAATAATGATAATGGTGCTGATCCTCCCGAAGAAGTCATCGATCCGCGACAAAATGCGGAAGATATCATTGACGAGATTCTCGCAGAGTTTACAGAATCCCGAACACCAGAAATTGCAAGAAACGGGAATAGTATTCCGGATAACCTTTTCAACATAATACAGCCTGCACAGACAAGAACACCTGCCAATTCTTTTTCTGAAACTGCTCCAATAGACGACATTGATCCAGCATCGGATCTAGGAACATCCATAAGAAACAAATGCTTAGAACTGGAAGAAATACTACAGAGTCTTAAATCACGTCTTAATCATGTTGTTTTAGATGAAAATATTGTACTAAGTCCAGAAGCCAACTCTTTGGAAGCTCAACTCGAACATGATTTGGATACAGATTGTCAAGAGGACCTTTCACTTCAAGAATTCCTTGAACTTCTACATTCACAAAACAAGATAACCCCTACTGGTGTGCAGTGATTAATGTTCATAAATCCCTGAATGTCAGATAAATATAAGAAAAAATGAATTTATTTTGTGCAAAATTGCTATGTATTAGATTTAATTGTGAAATTAATTTATTAATCGTATCCCAAATATGTATTTTGTTACAAACTACAAACAATGAGTTATCATCAAAGTATAAAGATTAAAATTTACATTAATGTCAAAAACTATATATGTACTAGAACAACTGAAATAAAAAGGGCAAATTATACAAAATTTTATTAATATTTTATCACATCAACAGTATTAACATCACAATATTAACTTGTTTTAAAATTGATATGGTTCTTTGTTTTATATAAATCAACATTAATCATATAAACTACATATCATTAAATAAATTATTAACCTCAGAACTGACATCCATTTCTGTGAAACTGGGTGCTGTATCCATTTCATATATCTGGCTTTCTTCTTCAGGGTCATTTATATCATATTTACTTAAATTATTTTCCTGATTCCATATATAATTTAATTGTTTTTCTTTTATTAGCTCTAACATATCACTTCTTTTTCGGTCATAAAGTTCTGTTTTGAAATTCTTTAACCAATTATTGTAATATGATGGGTCACCTTTAACTCCCTCCATTCTGAAGAACATCATTGCTTCCAGTGCCTTGGAGCAGTGTTGATCCAGGTTACTATAAATTAGACTTTCTATAGCACCTGTCATTTCTAATGCAATCTCATTTAAAGGTTTGCCTTTGCTCAAAAGATACTTGTAGTCACTAATAGGACTTATTGTTCTTATCTTTTGAATATTTTCTGATTTTGTTGGTATACATAATTCAACCTTAGGCATATCATTGTAAGCCTCATTAGCACCTTCAGCTTGTATAGAGGTATCTGTTACAGAAGCATCTTGGCTCTTTTTGATCCTATGTTTAACTTCTACTTTATTTAAAACAAATAATGTTTTGAGTCTTTCCAATGGAACAGCAGCTCTCTTTTCTATTAATGGAGGTACTTTAAACAACATCATTATATCACTTCTAGGTTGAGGCAAGGGTTTTCCTGGATTCATTGCCCGAAATGCAATGCAATCTAAAATATATTGTGCAGAAGGACTTATGGTCTCAGCTATTGGAAATGCTTCATTATCATCAAATTCGGAATCATCATAAGCATTTGTTAGGTCCATTGCTTTAATGAGATCCTTAAAAGCATTAACCTGATCATTGGTGCAAGCAAACTTTTTGAGTTCAGTTGCAGGAAACGACATATATTTTATTTCTTCTTTGAAACAGATACTAGCCATAGACAAACAAACAAAATCATTTGAATCAAGTACGGGCATAAGAGCAAACATTCTTGGTGCATATCCATTATTGTATACTCTCCTTACAATAGCAACTAAATCTAATTCAAGAAGACATTCTACAAGACATCTTACTGCATATTGTGCTTTTTTATCACCTTTACGCCCAAATACATATGACAAGCCATCTCCATTTAGATTTTGAAATTTAACTTTACTGGAATGAGTAAACCCATAAACTATAAGGGACTTTGGACCAGATTCATAAATTAATGATTTATCACACTCAAAAAAGGGAATGATTTCCTGACCATAGTGGTAACCTTTTATTAATTCATTATTGACTACATTTTTATTCTCAACGTTTAAATGTATAGTTTTTTTTGAAACTGCTTCAGTGCTGCTAGCAGTGTCTGTAATTGGATCTCTTACTGCTTTTGTCCATTTTTTTACAATTGGCTCATCTTTGAGCCTTATATATGATGTAATTGGTATCTTTATGTTAGGTCCGATACAAAGGTCCACATTCCAAGGCATAGCATTCACATGTTTTTTCTTATGAAAAAGTAAATATCTCATAGTATCATTGAATGGAGCTGTTACTCCATTTGTACTCTCTACAAAATTTCGAGCCATGTTAATATCATTATTTTTTGAATTTTCTGAATTTATATCACAACCAATGACATCAACTTGAAAATCTTCCTCTTTAAATCCATTTAATGCCTGAAACCAAGAATTTAAAACCATTTTATACAATATGTGTTTAAATATGTAGGCTGTATACAGCCTTTAATTTTCTACATTCTTATAAACCTGTGAAGAGACCACTGCTAGATATGGTGATCTCCTATATATTGAAGCAGTTTGTCAGGATTATTTTAAAATCAGGGATAATTTGACAGCTTCATGGCATATAATGCTAGGTTTCTAATCTATCATAATGCTAGGTTTCAAGTTGCTAAGTCACCTAGAAGTGGTCTAGATTTTTATGAGTGCATCAGTTACTGATAAAAATGGGACTTTTGATAAATGTTAATTACCTGAGGTTTTTTATAGAATAAAGGTGCCGAGAGTAAAAGTCCACTGTGTGCTCAGACACCTACATTTACCCTCAATTAAGAATCAAAATGCAGATACGTTGTCACCCCTAAGGACTAAGAAAAAATGCCTCATATCCAGTTAATAGGGTCTCTGGCTTAAGCTCCTATTTTACATTAGTATTCTGTGAGAGCAGAATGGTTCTACCTCATATAAAAAATGTGTTTATAAAGTTTGTTACTTAATCCAGAATCAATAGTTTTTGATTCTCAACATTGTGGTCTGTGAATAGAGATAGAGCTATAGTTTGAGCGAGATAGCAAGTGAGTGGACAGTGGATACCATTTTTATTATTTGTCACGATTTTGTTGGTAAATTTTGTCTTTTTGAATATTCAATAATGATTTTTACATGGAATTATGTACTTTACAAGTAATTATTTATTAACTTTAACATGACAATCTGAAATCAATTAATGGAAAAATTGAATAGCCAATGGCAAACTAATAGATTCGCCTAGTTATCAGACCATTAATACTATAAACCTTAGGTACAACAATGAGCAAAACGAGGAGCATTAAGACTCTAATCAGTACTTGCCATTTAAAGTTGTTACTATATTGGTGTGACTTATATACCTGAACTAAATATTTATAACTAAATAATATTACGACTGTTTACCTGATCAAATCCATTTTCATCAACACTAGATGGTGACTCAAAGTTAGTCATTAAAATAATCCTCTTGTTAGGATTTTTAATTCCACTTACACCATTTTTAAAGTAGTCCGCAGCAACAATAAGAGCATCAAACCAGTCTCCTTTACTTTTTGTTGGCTAAAAATACTTTATCATGCAAAAATAAATATTGTAAAACAAAGTATATAAATGTTAATGCAATAACCTGTGAAATATATGCTATTATTATTTGGCTAAACATATGGTCATTGTAAAATAATTATTCGTACGATAATCGTTAAATAAAAAATACTTATTTGTCCAATAATTTTTAAATTTAACAATTTTGATTCTTTAATATTTATGATTAACAGCTATATCATTTTAAAGTACACTGCTTTAGGGTGGCTCAAAGGCCACCCCAGCTGCACCTTAACATACTGATGCTGATATTACAAGATTGGTGTTATGTTATATAAGACTCAAATACCCTAATCATACAAGTAAGTATCAGAGATACTTTATTTTATTAAATTGTCTAAAAGTATTATAAACATTTAAAGTTTAGCTAATAAATCGAAATGAATAAACCATACAAGAAAAAAAATATCGTTCAATTATCATGTGAGTAGACGCTTCCTTATTATTTATTATATGAACTTTAAGTATTTAACTTTGGGGAAGTAATTTCTTAAGAAACAAAATTATTTTTGTACCATATCAGGCAAATCTCTTATCATTTTCCAAGAGGGTATCTCAAGCTCCACAAACAATTCTATATGTTTAAATGCGCCAGGACATTGTTCTGCCATACTATTTTTAGTTTTTTTTGATCCCAATAAAATTATTCCAATGAGATCATTTCCTTGACTCATTATCTTTCGTTCGATAATACGTTTAGTGCATTCTATTGCATTCTCAAAAAAACTTTTACCACTTTTGTCTTTAGCTGATGTGTTTCTTCCTATATCTAAAATAATAATAGTTCCTTGTTCAACTTTTGGCGGCATTTTATCTTCAATTTTTCACCCGTGACAAAAATCACAGGATATTTTTCCTTAATGATTTGAATTGCAAACTTGAAAAATTAAATAGTACTGCACCGTAAATCAATTTAATTAATATAAATTTGAAATCTCAGAGATTACAAATTAAAAAAATTATATTAGACACACAGACACAAAGTACAAACAAAAAAAAACCGAGATGTTGATGTTGATGTTGATAGCTTGCTACATATATATTTATCTATGATGTTGATTGTTGACAGTTTACACCATGAAGCAAATACAAAGAGGAGACGTTGTAATCTAACATGCTACATATTTATTTATCTATGGTTGTAATTAAATTTCACTATGTCACAACGAGTGACAATTTGCGGGGTGAGGGGATGCAAAGCCCCGCCCACTTTACACTATCTACATCTACCGATAAATAGTAAAATTACTCGAATCTTTCCATATCGATGTTGCAATGTAGCTTATCTACCTTGACGGTAGATGGCAGCATGTCCACAAAATGTTATAAACTATAAAAATAATATTATGGCGATTAAAATTTCTTTGTCTGAATGCAAAACAAATTTCAGCACCTTCATATGATTATTTTATCATTACTGAGCTGAGTTCTGAGTTCACAAAATGATTATAAAAACTATAACAACATTATTTTGACGATTAAAAATTCTTTAGGACTGATTGCAAAACAAATTTCAACACTCGTATGATTATTTTACCAATACTGAGTTCTACGTACCTTTATATTTTTAGTTCCCATGACACAAAGTGTCGCCATCTAGTGTCGAATATATTTAATTACATTTGAAAGCCGACGCAGAAATTTTTCTAGGACCTTTTTAATAAATTAGGTATAAAATTACTTATAAATGAAATGTGATGCTATCCATAACATCAGAGCGTCTATCTCAGTAGTTTTTACACGATAAAAAACAAAACTTCATCCATTTCTTCTCAATACTACCAAAATACACCGATTTGCGATTTTTTCAACACATAAGCGCACAGGACGAATGCTGACAGTATACTAACTAAAGCCACGCCCACTATGATGACGTCAGGACCTACATAGAATCACAGTGCACAGTTGCTTATGCCGTCTCCCCTTTGTATTAGCTTCATAGCTTCATGGTTGACACCACAAACCAATAAGTTGTGTTGATTTTTTTATAACTGGCTTTACGGCTCTGGATTCTAGCCCTTCTGAGCCTGAAGTTACAATGTATAATAAACCTTCATAGTACACTGCTTCACAATATGTTAATGCGTCACATTGTGCAGCCCTTGGGAGATTTTGACGGCAACTTGAGCCAGCAGACAGCTGACAGTTGGCGATGGTATCTCAAGGCGCCTAAGTAGACAGACACCTTATCTTGAGAATCACATCAGAGCACTTGTTTCACCGCTTCCACTAATAGTTTCCATGCGCAGACATTTAATACACAAAATCGCACCATTTTTACGTATCAAAATCCACTTCAAACCATTATTTAAACAATAATACCGGTCAAGTTCCCGCCAAAACTCTTCTATTAGTATAGCTTCCTACATATCACAGAGTATACCTTTCTTTTATACCTGCTACTATAGATGTGCCAACTCGGAAAAATTACGACTCAAGTTAATTTGAGCTGAAATTCACGCAACTCGAGTTTAAACTCGAGTTACACAACTACACTTAGCAGTACGAAACGGAGCAAATGATTTGTTACAAATTACTTTTTATAAATTTCTTTTTTATCTAGCTCTTTGGTGGGTTGAGATAACTATAATTACCAAACTTATTATGTAGGATTGTTCGCTCACTTTGCTCGACCCCGCTATCCCCTTCGTGGTAATTTTTTTATAACCCACCCAGTAATAGGAGCCCCGCTCCGTAGATTACTTAAAATATTGAATAATTAACAATTAAGTGTATTTATGATCGAACAATCATCAATATCAATCGAACTAACGATATTTAGTAAAAATTAATTAATTTAAAGGATAAACATTAAAATTTACTATAAGAGGGCCAAATTAAGGATGAAATTTGTTTCATTAATATAAATAATGAAAAGGCGAACAAACAATTTTTATGTTTGAACAATAACGAACAAACGTTCTACGTGTTAGAGCCATTCTGCAGCTATATTAGTAGTATAGTTGTAGCACGAATGGGTCGGCTCGAGCGGGGAAGGACCACGCTCTCACAGAATACCAGCGTTAAATAGCAGCAGCGGACTGTATGCTCGTTTGTCACCCGATCCTATAAAGAAAAAACGATGAACAATTAATTAAAAATAAGAAAAACTCAATAATCAAAAATGAAAAATCCAAGTGTGGCTAGGCTCAAGTACTTGATTTTTGCTGATTATCGTAATACTGCGCATCAGACAGGAAGACAGGAATCACGCGCAGTATCCACTTAGTAGTCTGTGATTATATACTAGGGATGGGCAAGGGAAAAAAATATATCGATATATATCCAATCGATATTTTTAAAAAAGTATCGATATATCGATATTATGATAAATATAAAGTCCAAAATTTTCCAAAAGTTGGACGAGGAAAAAAAACGATAACCAACCAACAATTTAAAATATATCGAAATTGATACGAATTCGATATTCTAACATAAATACCGATATATCGCGATTTAAAATATCGATGATATTTATCGATATTTTGATTAAAAAATAATTTAATAAATCCGTAAGAGTACATAACTCTTTGTTTGTGGGTATTTGATTTTGACGATAGATAGTATTCTTATGAATCTACTAAAGTGCGCGCAAGATAACTTTGCGCGCGGCCAAAATTGCTACTAATCGTGTGCCGCCATCTTACTGTTTATGGCAGGTGTCAAAACAGATTGTTAGGTGTCGTGTTTTTATTCGTTATTGCAGTAAATAATCGTCATCATTATGCCGAAAGTGATTAAAATTGCTGGCAGGGATATTATCTTGATGGTCAAACGTGCTTGTGATGAAGAACGAGACAATAACGGGCCATTTTCCAAAGTTAGAGCCCACGTTTCATATTTCACAGGTAATTTTTAGTGCTGCCATAACAAATAAAACTCCCTAATTTTTTCGATTTGTTCGTTTTTAGTTTTTTCGTGTCATTAATATCATAAATTGAAAATGCATTATATGCATTGTTTTTATTATGTTTTAGGCGTTTCTGAACTCACCATCACCCAAATAACTCAAGAGGGTACATAATGTAGCAGCAGCTTCATCTTCTAAAATTGTGACGGCGGGAAAAACTAGGAACCGGAGGAAAAAAATTATAATTTAGACGATTTTCATACGTGGCGCTATAAGGCATTTAAATCAATCATTTGACCTTGATGTGAAGAATGAGATTCCTGAAATAAATAACTAACCATAAACAACGTTGAGTAGTAGATTAAAGACTATGGGCTACGAATGCAAAAGGTGCCAGTTTAAATGGATAAATTTATAATTAATGACACATCCGAGTCTTGTAATGAAGACTGGCATGAATTCTGATGAAGATGTGAGAATGGAAGGCGTTGACCCACAGCAGGACCATTGTTACACCAAATTTACATATAGATCTAGCTATTCAATAAAATATGTATTTGAAAGTTAAATTTGACTAACTTTTAGGTTCTCGGTGGAACGGAAATTTTGCGTATACGTTAAGTTTAGATGAAAATAAGTGACCTCATTCTAAATCCAATATGGCGAACTAGTTATTTTTTTGTGCATTCCAATGATATGGATATCAAATAAAAGCTTTGCTGAGAAGAATACCAAAAATAAATGTGAAGCGTGTTTTTGTTTTTTTTTCCTCAAACTCGCTTGCATAAATTAAACGTTTTCAAATGTTTTTAAGGAATAATTTATATGAACTTAAATCCTACCATAGAAACTTGTGATGTGTAGTGTCAAACTTACGGAAGTTACAATCGAGAAATATAATATTTATTATGCGAATCTTAAACAATAAATATAGGGTTTAATATTTATTAAGTCTTTGTAAGCTTAAGCTGAACATTACAGTTTTCTTAACTGAGTTTTGGTAATCAATTTGGTCATTTATGTACTTTGATATATATAATTATATAATTCCAGTAATAAGATTAAATGAAGGAAAAAAATATTAGTTAAGCTGGTAACATTAAGTACGCCATCAGTCGCGCGCAGAGTTAAGGTGGCTACTGACCTGCCTACCGCAGTGGCAATCTAGGGTGTGGGAGTGGGGATGACCCTTAATTGCCTCCTTAATTGTGATGTGTGTAGGCAAGCAGGGGCAACTTTTTAAGTCGGCCCTGCGGCAGGGCGGCAGGAGCGCAGTGTTGCAAAAGTTCCCGATTTATCGGGAGATCTACTGATTTTAATTAGTATCTCCCGATATCCCGATTTAGCGAACGTATCTCCCGATTATTTTACATTTTCAACTAATGTAAAATAATAATCATAAATAAAATTGAAAAGTAATTGTACACGCCCCTAGCTGCCCCAAACAAGGTTGACGGGATTAGGGCCCATGAGTAATCCCATCGACGAGCAGCAGAGGGACGGGGCCAGAATATGGTCACGTGGAATTTCCTAATTACAATAAACAATATGGGAGAAAGCTAGAAACACATAGTACTTACCATTATCCGGAGCTAACTTCGCACCAAGGCTTGGGCAGGCCGTGAGTGTGTGTAATAGTGGATGGCGAGTAGTGTATAGTAAGGTGTGAATGTGTGGGGCCTTGGCAAGCATAGGCGACCAGCAGCGGCAGAGTTCCAGGCTGCTCCAAAATAAGGTGATCTTCCGCGGCGCCGTCCACAGTCACTTTCTTCGTTCGTCACGATGACAGTCCATTAACTCTATCGTACTATTAACTAACTTACAGAAGCCACTAACGCTCGTTTGTTATAAAGCTTAACACACAAACGAACAGGGGGTGTCCGGATCAAAGGTCACTACCGCTTCGCGTAGCAACAGTTATTTCTAGAATATCAAAGGCCGCATTAGCTAATATTGTCG